TTCCACCAGTGGTAACCTCCTCGACATGATGGATATGGGTACTAATGGTCATGGTGGCTACTGTCACGACCTCTGTCCTACTGTGGCAGTGAAGGCTTTCCGTCTTACGTCTGAGACCGTCAGTCCCTATATCTGGGCGAGAGATGGGGAAAGGCTTGAGGCTAAAACAGTTCAGGGCGCGGTATGGGATCAGACCCTACCCTTCCTTACCGGCGGCCATATTGAACGCCAAAAGTACACACATTTTCCCGAATTTGGATGCTGACCGACATCATGTCTTGAGGTGAGTTTCAATTCCCGCGTCAGTTATTTTTCATGCATACATTTTGACAAATTGCGGCCGCCTTTTAAGTCAAAAACAAAAGATCAGAAGAAAGATCACACGTAGTTAACCCGATCTCGCATAGGCCAGGGTAGAGCATCTACGTCGACAAACTTGCAAGAGTACTTCTGCCGAGGTTGGCCGAACCCGCATAAGTAGAGAAGAGGATTTACGATCATTCTCGATTAGCGGCTCAGTTAGCAAAAAACCGGGTCGACGAGTCTGAACTTTTCGCGCTAGGTAACAACGGCGTGAGCAGCGATCTGCTTTATATTTCTCCGACCTACAATCCACCAAAAAGCGCAGTGGGTTAACCCTCCCTTTTCAGTGCTTAGACTTTTCCAAAAACCGGATAATTAGTCACACGGGTGAACATTGCTTCTAGTGGCAGTACTGCCGATCCAAATTTCGGAATAATTATCGCGCTGATCACCACCCCCGGGTAGTGAAATGGCTACGAATACCGACATAAACGCGAGTCATTAATCTTCGGAGCAGGCTGCGATGAGTGTGAACATATTGTGGTGGCTAAAGCCATTGGGAGAAGAAAGCCACTGCAACCTGCAGGCCCGGTCCCGAATAGGAACAAATGAAGTGGAATGCCAGTTGGGGGGATGTTGCCTTCCGTAAAGAAATAATAGAGAACAGGTGGAGACAAGTTGACAGCCTAACGACGGTACATGTCTGGCAACGCGAGAGCAGGCGTCCCGCGTGTCGCCACAGCGCCTCGAGCGAGGGTACGCCTGAGTCGGTCTTGCAGATGTTTGGCGGGTTCGGACAACCGCAATTGGCTGAGGACCAGACTGCCGCACTGGTGCGCACATACAGGTACTCGCGATAGGCGAAGAGTTGCAGCAGGTGCCTTTCAGATCTGTTAGTGTTAGCAGCTGTGTGTGTGTGCTTGACTAGATGCGGCATCCGATACATTCTGCATTGTCCGTGCTTCCGCTACCTTTACCTTTTATCGTCTTTGGTGGCGGCGTTGAGGGAGAATTCAGCGATCGAGTTTCCTTTCCCCGGTGACAGTTCTTTCGGAAGTGATGGGAAAATTCAACAACCATAATGAATGTTACCTGCGTGTCGCTTAATAAATCGCCTTGAAGCTACGGGGCGGGGATTTGCGACGCTTAAGAGCAGGTATTAAGGTAAGAGGGTTCCATTTCGGTTTGCGAACTTTTGAGAGGGCGGCGCTATCAGTACTTTTTCCAAAATCAGACTAGTGTCGCCTGTTTTTTTTTTTACCAAAATCACATTTATTTTGCATACGATAGCCTAGCTACTTTTCAGGCGAATGTAGTGAGCTTAACCGGTTAATTTTCTCCTAGCTTTTGTTATGAGATTTTCGTCCTTTCATTTAATTAACTATAATAAAATCAATTTTGGGCTCCTGATCGTGAAGACTTTTGCGTGAGGT